AAAAAAAAAAAAAAAAAAAAAAAAAAAAAAGAATCCAGATTGCGCAATCAAATTGAAAGCCAGAAAAACCCACAGTGTCCAGAAAGTAGCACTGCACCAATAATACACCAATGGAGAATCGTAACACTGAGTCCGAATGTCAATGAGAGCTTACTCTCGTCTTCACCAACATAAGAGTACAGGCCCTTCCCCCTACTTGGCGCTCGGCGCCCAGACTACGCCCACACAGCTACTATCTGCCAAAGAATTGACAATGCAACTGTTGACGTAAGCAGCCACCGAAGTACTTGAAGATGTCGCCCAATGCAGACCATCGCCAATACCAGGTATGAGCCCTCACATCACCATCCTCATCTCTATCTCTCTCTCTCTCTCTCTCCCTCGTCTTTCTCCCTTGTCTTCCCTCTGTACACCCGAAGACCACCACTGCGCCTTGCTGTATGCCCAAGCCCAGCCAGCTATGGAAGCTGGGCTATGGCGCTGCCCTCAGCTGCGCCCTTCTTCCCACACGACCGCACGTGCACAGCACCTTGCCGCAGCGCTAGCAGCAGCACGCGAGCATTCGCTCCAGCAGCGCTGCCGCAAACTGGCAAGTGCCTGAATGAGATGTCAGGCAGCGAACTCTTTCCTATATGGAAAGAGTCTAGCCTGGCTTGCCGCCTGGCTGGGCTGGGCCTGCGCCCAGAAGCTTCCGGGAGGGCCCCAGGTAGCTGGGCCTCTGCTGCTGCTGCTGGGCCTCGTTCAGTTACACCTCCCAACTGTCTGTGTATGTTGCTGCGAAAGTGGCCCGGAGCCTGCATTTCAGAAAAGGCCTAGAAGGCCGTGGAAAGTATTTGCTGCTCGGGTCCTGGGTTCCCTCAACCAACTGACGCGACACAACTGCCTGAGCCCCAAATACGAAATTGACAGCATTTGGCCTCTCGTGATTTGTTAGGCCCGCCTTCACTTAGGGCAGGCACACTTGCATAAGGGGCCCCTTAGGCCTGCCGAGGAGCCACATCCTCGCACAAGAAGCATATGCCATCTTTCTCTGCCTACCAGCTCAGTAAGAGAAAAAAGGAGGATTGTTTGGAACATGCTCCTGTTCTGTTCCACTGGCAGTTCCTTGCCATCACCACACATACACACCGAAAGTCTCGCAGAAGACCCTTTTGTTCTCTCTCTCTCTCTCTCTCTTCAAATATACTCACATGCACAACCTGTCTTCATCGCTGTTCATGGACTGTTTACATCTGAATGAATTTCAGAAAAACACCACACATACACGCCTACACATGCCTCATCTTCCCACTTGATCTACTTCTTCAGTGAACCAAGTGTTAGGAAATTGGGGCAGGCTTGTCACAAACCTCCACTGAAGCCAAGATCTGTTGATGACACGCCCGCAGTCTGGACAAAGCCATGGAAGTCACTGCCTCCACCTCCCAGTCGTCCAACCTGACAAACAGAAAAGTTGAGAAAACACAGATCACTCCACCTCCATGTTTTATACCACCATTATGATATACCAGCAGGTGCTGTAACTGTGGTAATGGGAGCAGAGGTAGCATAGAGGATATTCCGTTTGCTGTCCATGTTCACCAACACCTCACATAACCTGTTGAATGAGTCATACCAGGCTGCATGTCTCTAACCACCTTGAGTGCCAGACCACGATTCCAAAGATTTCCCAAGTATTTCTGTACTGCCGAATGGCAAGCATAACTGAACCCTAGGCAGGCATCGTAAAGGATGAGCCACAGAGGCCGCTCAGGCTTTGGCAATTTTCAGAGGACACTCATAGGTTGGCAGGAGAGCAAGTAGTGGGTGTCACATTTGAATGGAGACTTTATCTGCCATCAATTAGCAGGTCTTCTAGAGACAGTCTTTGGCTTCTAAAAGGATGTGGTATCCTTGATGGCTATGAGGTATAAAAGTTAATAATAAAACTGTATAATATGAACAGGCTTTTAAGAGGTGATTTGGGGGAGTTCAGACAATATACACAGGATTTTAAGAGCTGTGCTATGATCCTGGTCGGCTGCCAATTCAATTGCAACTCAAATGAAAGAACATTGGATGAAAAATGATACAAGGGGAGAAGAAGAATGAAGAACAGAAGACGGCGAAGAAGAAGATAAACACGAGCTGGAACCAATGTCACCACCTCCTTATCTATTCCTCGAGATACCATCTATCTCTCCCTCAACATCGCCTCAATACTTATTACTAATAATAGTTGAGGCGCGCCGCCAGTCTGTCGCGGCAGGAAGACAATGAGATCCAGACATGTGTCGGCGTTTGTTTGTCTTTGTAGTTTCTCCCGTTTGCAACATGGAAGGGAGGTTCAACCCTGAATCCAAATGAATGCTCTATGGAAATGCCATATCTAGGGAATTTGAGCCAATAGAGTGGCTGTGGAGGGCGGAAGGATCAGGGAAAGTAAGAAAGACCACTCTCTTACATGAGTATTAACTGTTCAGTCAAATTTGGGTATAAAATATATTCCTTAAAACAAAGGACTCGAAAGTAGAGAAGGCAAGCATAAATCAGATAACAGAAATCCCGTGACGCAAATTCAAAACAATAGGACTGGTAAAGATTAGGAGTCTTCAATGGCTGATAGCATATGCAGCTCTCCCAGTCAACCAGTGGTTACATAAAAGAAGAAGAAACGTTCCTGACAGCTCTGAGTTGTGTACAGTCTGCTCAGCGCAGGAACAAGAAGATATTTACCTCTGCTTGATTGGATGTAGAGAAGCCACTACCGGGCACAAGCATGCGATCTATTGTCACGCCTCTTTACTTCCCCCTTCTCTGAACAACCCAGTCAGGTCTTACTAATAAGTTACTACGGACTAACATGCGCTCTCAAATGTGCAAGCCAGAGAGACAGTGGTACGGGATAATCGAGAAGGTTAGGCTGTGGGTGATCTGGACAAAGAGAAGCAGCATTACTTCGGACAGGGCAAGAAACTCAAGAGAAAAGGTCTGGGCCGCCACCAAGGACTTCATCAAATCGGAGGTAAGGTGCAGAAGGACACAAACAAGAGAGCAGATCATTCTACAGACGGATCGAGAGGAAGAAATTATGACAAGAAATTCAGTCGCAACTGGCTGGCTTGGGGCAAAACAGCCACTATCCCAGGTCAACAGTTACGATGGCCAGGAGATGGCAGACTGAGCGCCAGGGGGGAAGGAGCATAATTTCACCGCCATCTTACTTACTAGAAGAATATCGTATCTCACTCTTGGTTAGAAAAGATAATCTAAACTTCTAAAGTCATTCGGGACATCTGTTATAATTGGAATGATACGGAGACGATTAGCATGGCCCCTGCGCAAGGATGACACGCATAAATTGAGAAATGGTCCAAGAAAAAAAAAAAAGATAATCTAATAGCACAATCGACACTGAGAAAGAGGTGCACAATGGTTGGCTCTGAGGGATAAGACTCGTTCCGGTTAGAAAGACAGGAACTGACTCTGTGACACCCTTTTGACCATTAGAAGGGGCTGTTTTTTGGTAATGTTTCTTTTCTAATGAAAATGATAGAGTGAGGGTCGGATAAAAGGTGTGGGCTCAACTGACAGTTAATCCTTCCCAAAGGAAGCAATCAATGCTGTCAGGGTTCCCCGGGCTGTAACATGGGGAAGCGTTAAGGAGTGGGTATCTATTTGTGAAGGGCTGCTGGATCCGGTTTGCAGCAGGTGCTTGCTCCCCACCAATAGAAAGGACACATTAAAAAAACAAACAAACAAACAAAAGGAAATGCCATACCATGTGGTACTCTGCAATATCATGTGGGGTAAGGAATGGGGGAGAGGAGGAACAGGTAGGTGTGCACTGCAGGTAGCCACCCGAGGCCACGGAAAAGTGGCACCACAAAGTAGTTTGGGCACAGGGAAGTTTTTGTTTTGTGGGGGGGGGCAGCCTGGTCCACATAGCATCACACAGATACCCCACATTGCACCACCCAGTGCAAGTAGCATTGCCCACCTACCCTTTCTGCATTGTGCCGCATGGGCTGCGAAGTGCTATCCAGTCCATACACAATGATCCAGACCGCCCAGTCCACGTTTTAGCACACAACCGACATAGTACCACGCTTCCTGCCCACAAAACAGCACACTCAGCCCACATGGTTTTGCGTGGCACCACATAGTACGCCCCCTCCTCTTCTGCGATGTATGTGGGCAAGCAAAGGAAAAGAAAACCAAACCAAAAAGAACGCCCTCCGGTATCACATGGACCGGGTCAGTGGGCGGTACTATGTGGGCGGGGTTATACCATGTAGACTGGATGGTAAGACAGCCATAAAAACACACAAACACAGCCCCCTAAAAGAAGACACGCACTTGGGGACAACTCGACCCTGGGCACGACTATGGTACTATGTGGGCTGTGCAATGTTACATGGCCTTCATGGTGCTAAGCGAGTTGGATGGTATTGGGCAACACTAACTGGATGGTACTAACACACACACTCCCAAAAAAAGGAAAAAAAGAGCACAGAGACAGCCACGGAAAAAAAGAAGCCGTGGTCATCGTCTTCAGCCCTTGCCACAGCCAGGGAATACAATCGGGTGGTACTATGCGGGATGTGGGTTGTGCAGTACGATGTGGGGCAGGTCATACTATGTGGGCTGGGTGGTACTATGTGGGCAGGGTGGTATTATGTGCTGTGGGCGATCCTAATGCAAGGAAAATGAGCGATAGCGAACTTCAGAAACCAAGCAGCATCATACACATGTGTCCAGATAGTCGTGACCTTAAACCAAAAGCAGAATTGCAACACGAGTTCCACCAAATAAGAGCACAGCAAGAGCTCATAAGTGACAATGTTGGAATAGTCTCATCATCAACCAATGTCAACATCCTATCTGGCGCTCTGCGCCCAGATTACAAATGGCAGATCCTATCTAGCCTATCTACAATGCCGCTGGTGATGTCAACAGCTCCCCGAAGTACGAGCAGATCTCGGCCAATGCCGTTCGCCTCAAACACCAGGTATGTCTCTCGTATCACTCACAACCTCGATCTTCCACTCACAGATGACATGTGCACCCAAGGACCACCATGAGCCCCATCCAGCATACAGCAGCGCAGCTCGGCTATGGCTGCCTGCTCATCCACCTGGCCCGTGAGCGAGTGAGCGCTGGCCAGCGTGTAGCGCAGGAGCGCTTGCGCAGCATGCAGCCAGTGCCCGAATGACCAATGCGTGGGCAGGCACTTTCCTAAATGGAAATGGCCTGCCTGCTGCGTGCAGCCTGGCTGCGCTGGGCCCCTGCCCAGAAGCTTCCGGTAGGCCCAGAGAGGCTGAGTCCCAGTCCACACAAATCAGGCCCTGGGCCTGTGGTGGTTGCTCGTGTCCAACTGCCCCAGGCCTGTGTTCTGTCCATGTTGCGAATCTGGCCCAGGGCCTTCCTCAGTTACATGCGAAAAAGGCAACCTGGGCCTGGGCGCCCTCAAGCAACTGGCGCTGCGCAACTGCCTGAATTTTCCTCAGATGCGTGGTGACCCCAAAAATGGGCCTGCAGGCCTTCGTCGAGCCTGCCTTCTCTTAGGGCTGCCGACTGTACTGAAAATAGGGCCCAGTAGGGCGTATCGAGGCCTTGAGCCTCGCATTCCCTCTTCCATACTTCGACAGTCCTCTGAGAAGTTCCATTACCTTCACGTCATAATAGGCCCCGGCCTTGTGGCCACCGATGACTACCTCGCCGACGAACAACTCACTCTCAGGGGCTTTTGCCATAGTCGTCCAAGAGGCTACCGGGTCTGATCTAGACCACTCCTCCTCTAGCTCCTCTAAGGACTCAAACACATTCAACGAACAGAGGACCGATGGGTTCGAATGTGCTTGCAGGACAGCACCAGAGTCAGCAGCTTGGGCCATCTCTTGAGATGGTGAGGGTGTGTCCACCACCTCGACCCTAGCAGGAACAACTACTATTCCTACTGGCCCGACGTGTTTCCCGGAGCAGTGCCAAAACTGCTGGCAACATTGCTCCCTATGGAAGCGGAGGACCCCAACGCCTGCCCCATTGTAGGCGGGACCTTTTCAGTCACCTTCTTATTTCAACACTAATTATGGCCATATTGGCCACAATGGATACAAGCCTGCCGAGTGTACCGATCCGTCCACACGTCCTCAGTAAGACCAGCTTTCTCTCATGGAGGAGCATTGGGGTCAACTTGACTCCTAGACCGGGAGCCTCCACGACGTCTACCGGTCGCCTTGCCTTTCAACACTAAGGCAGCGACTGCTCCACCCCCTGAAGCCTCTACGCTGCCCGCCTCTGTACCTACTCCCTCCTGGAAGTCGTCATCTAATTCGATGGTAGAACCATCGTTGTCGACGAACATGATGCGACCCTTCGCCTTCCAGTTGGGAGGCAGTGCTTTCTTCCTTCTGTCTGTCATGGGTTGGTGCCAGTGCCCTATCTTTGCATCCAGG